TATATATATATATATATACACACACACACACACTCACACACATATATACAGATGTCACCTATATATATCACATGTCACCTATATATATATATATATACTGTATATAAATAACAAAAAGAAAACAAGTAGATACAATAGAAAAAAGAATAGAGAAAGCTAGTGTTAGAGGCCTTTTTTAAGAAAACGAGCAGTTAGTAAATGAATAGAGAGTGCAAGTGTTAGTGGGTCAAGTCAACAAATAGATAAAATAGAATTAGAATAGATAGTGATGGGTTAGAGCAGGGCTGCCCAAACTCGGTCCTGGAGGGCCGGTGTCCTGCAGAGTTTAGCTCCAACTTGCCTCAACACACCTGCCTTTAAGTTTCTAGTATGCCTAGTGAGTGCTTGATTAGCTGGGTCAGGTGTGTTTAATTGGGGTTGGAGCTAAACTCTTCAGGACACCGGCCCTCTAGGACCGAGTTTGGGCAGCCCTGGGTTAGAGGGTCAAATAAAGACGGAAGAGATGTGTTTTAGCCGTTTCTTGAAGATGGCTAAGGACTCAGCTGCTTGAATTGAGTTGGGCAGGTCATTCCACCAGGAGGGAACAGTTCATGTAAAAATTATTGCATTACAGTATTAAACATAAAAAACTGTGTCACTGTTGCTTTTAATTAGGTCTCCAGTGTGTTCATGTTTTTACTCATGTTCTTACTGGTTACGTAATCGCCATGTACCAGTGGTAGTTTGAAGGTGTTTACCAGCCGGAAAGTTGGCTTTGGCAAGCTGTTTCGAACTCCAAATGAACTTCGTTTTGGCATGATTTTGTTCAAAATGACATCAGAACAGTTCATTCTTTTATTTTGCTTGAAGTATATTAAGGCCTTTATTCACCCTTATGTTTTCCCAAACCTGTAATGCTCTTTCAAAGCAGAATTCTGATGAATCTGCATACACTTCTTTTCCATACACTCCTAAAAATAAAGATTCTTAATTGGCATTGGTGGTTCCATGACCAGCCTTTAATTATCCATGGAGGCTTTCCATAGGTATTTTTACAGTGGAAAATAAGTTCTTTAGATGGTGCTTTTATTGAATTGCTACTTTCTTAAAAATAAAGGTTTGATACTGGCATCAATAGTTCCATGAGGAACCTTTAACATTCATGGAAACTTTCCATTCCACAAAAGTTTATTTATGGTGGAAAAAGGTTCTTTAAATGTTTTAAATGTTCTTCACACTAAAATAAAATGTTCACTGAAAGGTTCTTTGAGGAACCCAAAATGGATCTTCTAAAGTCTATAATGACCATGTCTAAAAACCAAAAATAAAAGCGGCATTAAAATGGTCCATATGTGTTACAAATATATTGAAGTGTTACAATAAATTTGTTTGAGGAAAAAAACAGAATCAGTCATTTGAATTACTGAACCAAATCAACCAGAAAGGAGCAGGCTCATTAGAATGATTCCTTCATATACGGTAAAACATGCTGGGGTTCAGAATTTTCATTTTTGGGTCAATGGTTCCAGACACCTGATTGTTAACATCACACTCCTGTTTTTGTTAGGTTGGTCATCGAGACCTAGAGGACATACTGAAAGACATCGACTTAAATGGAGACGGCCACGTAGATTTTGAAGGTAAGAATAGCACTACATAATAATAATAAAAAAGCAAAAGCAGGATACAGATGCACAGTAGCTTTCAGTTAAAGTCTGTGTCTTTTTTTTCTGTCTGTCCCTTTTAGAGTTTGTGCGAATGGTGTCCCGCTGAGAGGGCAGCATTCATATGGTTTCTCCAACAGAAGAAAGTGAGATGCTGTACGGCTTCCTGCTGGTCAAAGCGGACAGACTATTAGACTACTGCAAGAAAAGCCTTGCTGAGCCAGTGCATGGTATAAAAACTGAAAACTGGACTTTTTGGAGAAAGAAAAAAACTCACACACAAACAAAAAAGTACACACTTATACTGTAGCCAAGAGTCTCTGCACTTTCAACCATGCAAGACCAAACAATATATGACTTTTACATGCAGATTTGAAGGAGAGTACCATGCTTGATTATGGCAATATTACATTAAGTGTTGTCCCTGTTGACCCCTATATGTACATGTGTCTCTTTGTAATAAGGTAGGTGAAGAAAATGGAGCCCGGTCTCATGAAAATGCGTATAAATAGTACGCCAAATAAAAACGAAAACTCGTGGTATTGATACGCAAAAATGGACTTTGGCGTGTATATGCTACGCACGTGTTTGGCGTGCATATAATACGCAGTTTTCACGTGCATATGATACGAAATTTGTTGGCGTGCATATAATACTCAGTTTTCGCGTACATATGATACGCATCTACCCCACAACCCTAATCCTACCCATCGTGTAGCATATACACGCCAAAAGTCCATTTTTGCATATCAATACCACGTGTTTTCGTTTTTATTTGTCGTACTATTTATACGCACTTTCATGAGATCGGGTTAAGAAAATGATGTCTGAAAGTTATTCTTTTGTTTGCAGTAATGTAACGGCGTAAATGCATTGACTTCCAGATAATATGTTATATAAGTCAAGCTCAGCTACCTAACTCCATTTGTTTGTCTTTGTCAAACAATTTGCCTGTTTCTATTCTTAATTCACAGTGCATGCCTTTAAAACAAATATAAACCACTGTGCAAGATTGAACTAAAACGGAACCAAATTTTGTTGCTGGGTTAACTTTAGCCTCTATAGTTTTAAAGAGTGGTTTCTAACTTTAGAAATGTTTGATTCACTATTTTTAGTTATCATGACATACTTGTCAGGAAACTAATTTAAAGAGCACAGAGTTTCACTCTACACAGGCTTATTTGAATCCTGCACAATATCCAGATATTACAAACATTCAAAACCCGATCACTATAAGCTTAAGAAAGCTTCAGATTTATTTATTTGAATTGATTCTCTTCGTGTCTGTTTGTGTGACAGTGTCAGAGACATTTGTAGTCTTAATTGTTTTCTGACTAGATTCTTGCATGCCAAAAGACCTTCATATGTAATATAGTGGTTTTAATACATTGTAACAAAACAAGCAAATAAAACCGTGTCTAGTAATAGCATATATTTTTCATCACCACGTTTGTGTAAGCTTCATCATTACTCTATTAGTTCCTCCATAGTTCAGGTTTGCTTACACCTCCTCTGAAGAAATGCTATTTGTATAGCCTATCCACTGGTGTCTGTTCTGCTGTTCTCCAAATCATTCAGCAGCGAGCATCACTTTCCCAGCGGCTGGAACAGACTGTTCGTGTTGTCATGGCAACGAGCCTTTTCCTCCGGACCAAAACGGGACAGAATTTTCCTGCCTTTCATTGTGAATGCAGATAGAGAGACCGAAAACTAACGCCACCGTGTGGTCAAAACAGGTGATTGACATCATGATGGTCTTTATGTAGAAGCGTATCCATTTCAGTTTTAACCATGTAAACATTTTTTATTTTTATTGTATTTTATTTTAGTCTATTTTTTTTGGAGCGCCATATTTAATATTAATCACAAAAAGGAGTAGGGTCATATCAGGGGCTACTTAGTCTAACAAAATATGCCAAAAATAAGCTCACTAGATATAGGCTCACTAAAAGAAGCCTATATTTTGCGTTTTTTAAGAAATTTCATTTATAAAGAAATTAATAATTGCATTAATTAAATTAAATAAACTTCAATAAAACATACATTCCGCAAGACATACATTGAACTTCCTGGATATTAATGTATTTACAATAATTTCATTATTAATAAATAAAATTAAGTTATTTTTACATACAATGTGTACATAATTACATAAAAAATAAGTTTATGAGATACTTTCTATTTTATATGATTATACTATGAATTATCATTATATAAGTAATAATCAATAATTATAAGTAAGAAAAGATGAGTAAGATAACATTATTTTTCTCTTTCTTTATGTTGGTCATTATTTAAAATAAATCCGCCTAATCCCGCCCACCTTTCGCTGCATGCACCAAAGTACCAATGAACTGAAGCCAGCAAATTTATGCGAGGAAGTGAGTGAAAGTTGATACACTTGATTCGCTGCTTCTGGACACTTCCACCGATCGTGATTGGTCAGAGCACGCCGGACTTGACAAATCGATTCCTTTCACAAGCAAATCATCAAGCAGAACCTGTTATTTGGCTTTGCGTGATTGGCTACATTTCGCAAAGTCCCGCCCCCTCCGGAACCTGACTATCAGGTTAGTCTGTCTCCCCTTACTGTTCCATCCCTTCAACCTGCGCTGCTGACTGCACACATACCCACCACAGTACTGACGCGGCCCTCCCGGTCAGAAACTGCTGTGATTTCAGGCGCAAAAAAGCGCAGAACACCTGTACCGAGCAATATACAAGCGCAGAATAACCACGCTGTTATCGTCCATTAAACGAGAGCGAGCACACGCCGCACACAGGGGTGCAGATGTAAGGGAATATACCTGCAGACTACAGCTGCCACACTGATGACAGAGCAAGAGGGAAGTCAGTTAGCCAGCTAACCAGCCACAGCTAAACTCGACTATCAGGAGGGTAAATGTACGGCGATCTGGACGGTTCAGCGACAACGTGCAACCCAAGCATCTGAACGGAGCCGGCCGTCCACTACAGAGAGTATTTCGCAGACTGCACAGTAAGAGTGACATAAATGTTGGCTTATATTGCTTTGGGCTATTCACACATTGCATTGTTAACCCAGAGGGCCATTCTAGACCCTAGAACCATTTTCAAATTGTCACACTTTTCACTTTTCTTCACCTTAGGTTAGGTATTAATCCTAGGTATTTGGGTATTCAGATTTCACACTGTACAATTATATCCTGGGTTAACCTTCTTATTTGCATATGCATGATGTCAGTAACACCGATTGGACGAGTACGGCTCGCCTTATTTTAATAACTGTCTGTTTCTGTGTCAGTTTCGCAACGTTAAAAAGCTAGAAATTAAAACACGAATAATGTAGTATATCACTCCATCTGTCGTCATTGTTTCACATTTTTCTGAAACTAAACAGAGCGTGAAAGTTTCTACAACTGTACAAGGTGCATGAATATTTAATGAGGTGAGCTGCAAGGCAGTTTGTGATTGGTTGTTTGTTGCCAAACAACGTGTTGTCACTTTCTAGCACATTGTTGTTTGACTCAATACTCATTCAGTACTACTTTAGTATCATCTAACTGCCTCCTCATTAAAAATATATATATATTCCTTCACTTTTTCTGTTCTCTTACTATCGTTATCCCTTCCTGTCCTAGTCTTTGAACGATGACTGAAACCGTGTATAACAGGCACTTCTCGTGTTTATTGCCATCTTCTGGTAAATTGCTTGTATACCCCAATTGTAAGCCGCTTTGGATAAAAGCATCTGAAAAAGTTTTTGGCATTTACCAGGCTAACCCAGGGTTAAAAGTGATGCTGACTCCGTTTAAATTTAACCCAGGGTTAAAATGGCCTTTCACCCTGCGTTTAACACGGTGTTAAAGTCGTTGTAAACCCCGGCTTAAGCGCAGGGTGTAAAGCGCTCCTGAGTGTCAAACTCATCGCATCGGCTTTTCGAATGACTTCCTTACATGCCACTTTTCCCTCTTCCCCCCCTTTTTTTTTACTCTTTCACTTTTCCTCTCGGACTGTAGGCTATGAGGAGGGTGACATTGGGCTGTGCTGCCCGGCTCGTGTTCGCAGCTTTGTGGCTGTTGGTGGAAGAGTGCCGGGCTGAGACCGGGGCCCCGAGTCTGGCCGAGCGAGTCATCTGGGCTGTAAACGCCGGTGGGGACGCACACACAGACGTGCACGGCATTCATTATAAAAAAGATCCACTCGAAGGAAAATTGGGGAAAGGTGAGTACTTGAGGATGTGACAGATTGCAGAAGAGTGGGTTATTTTTCCTTCCTAGCACCAGAAGGGGTGGCAGTTGTTTGTGGTGGTGGTGGTGAATTAATGAACAATTGTCCATGTCCCGTGTAAAGAATAAGATGGAATAAAATTTTCAGCAGCAGCATTGGCTTGTTTTTTTAAAAAGGACCTTTGTATTGATTTACATTTTTTCTCAAATCAGTACAGTACAAACTTAAATGGTATTGCTGTGCATGTACCATTTTAAAAGTGGTAATTCAACCAAAAATGAAAATTAAATGAATACGTGTGCCTATTTGTATTAAATGTGCACTTGCAGTGTACTTCATGTCTTAAAAGTATATTTTAAAAACTGTACTTATAGATAATGTAATATTAATAAAATTAAAGGCCACTTAAGTGTGCTCAAAGAGATTGTTTTACTTAAAAAAAAAAAATTTAAAAAAAAAAACATTTTAAAGTAAATTTGTATTACTTTTAAAGTTAAAAATGCATCGTCAAAAATGTGTAATTACAAATATATTTAAATGTACGTGCACACACTAATGACTCTGATACATATAAGTTTCAGTAGAAATGACATTATATTTTAGTTACCATATATGGTTGTCAGTACATTCACTTTAATCGTATTTCAAAGACATTAGAGGTAATCATGAAATTGCATAAAAAGTTGTACTTAAGTTCTACTTAACTAGCCCATAGTTCTAGCGCTCTATAGTTCAACTAATTGCATTTGATATAAATTTAAACTATAATAGATTTATTTAATTGTAAATAACATGCAATTAAGTGTCCAAAAACATTACATTTCGTTCACACTTAAGTATATTCTTTTAAAGTGTATTATGTATGCAATGAGTACTCTTTAAAAGTATGCTAAAGTGTACTTCTTTTTTTTTAAACCCATATGGTTTTCTTTCTTCTACGGAACACAAAAGCAGATGTTAAGCGTAAGCATAACACATTCACTTTCATTAGCTGGAAAAAAGGTAAAAGTGAATGGTGACTGAGGCCTCTTTTGTGTTCCTCTGATAAAAAGAAAGTCATATTGATTTAGAAATTTGAGGGTGAGTAAGTGATGACAGAATTGTCATTTAAGCGAACTTATCCCTTTAAGAATTAAGAAATATCAATGGTATTTTGTTGGAACTCTAGTTGTTTTATTACAGTCTGATTTTATATTGTATTAAGAATGTTAATCATGCTATATTTTGAAGAAAAGGACTGGTTGTCAGCTCATCTGGCTCATTAGCTGTTTGTTATTAGAGCTGTCGATCATATCAGGAAGTCTG